GTCCGCCTTCTCACCTCATTTGGAGCAGCAGCTTGCTGAGTGTCAAAATGTTTAATACCATTTGGTTTTGTTTGGTGCTTTCAACCAGTCACTTCACTTTCTTCTGTTTCCTTTTTCGATTGATTTCTTCTTCGAGATACAAAAATATGTTGACCTTTGAGTTGGTTTAATGTGAATCGGGGTTTGAAGTGACGGGTCCTCGTCTGGTACGTTCTCCTTTCCCCACCTTGCTCCTCCTCCAACATTTTTCTCCCTGAGCTAATCTGGAAGGGGTTTAAAAAGTGGAACCGGTGGGTTTCCTCAGCACAAACTGGTCGGTTGGTCCTCAGACTTCTCTCACTAGCAGCATCCTGGGAACACATTTTAAGGATGGATTCTGGTGTTGCAAAAGTCAACCCTGTGTCTCTTATAAATCTGTCCCTTTCAAAAGCATCTCTCACCTCGTGGACCCCAACTCTCTTTTTAACCGAGTGGTGGTGGTGGGGAATTTTATCGCTGTTGACTGGTACCTTCTTGGTGGAAAGAATCATGCACCGAAAATGCCACTCACAGAACACAAACTGGGTTAACCTCTGCATCCGTGAGCAGCAACAAAACCAATTGGCTTTACAAGTTATGGCTCTGTTCAGGTTCTAACAAGTTATGCAAACTCGAACTGGGGGTGCAGGCTTGCTTGCGTGAAATACTTACCCACCAGACAATATTAAACAGACTCATAACTAACTGCACGTAAACCTCTCTGTGCCTCAGAAACGGCTTCTCTGCAGCGACCTGACTCGGGCACGGATGTACGGCTCCAGTTCTAAAATCTGGTTCTCTCAGTAACAAGCTGTATCCTCGTTTGAAAAAAGCTCCGGAGAGTTTTTTGGCCATTGAAAATGTGTGTTTCTGTGTGCCTGCTTGTGTGTGTATATCGGGAGGTGTTGCACATGCACATGGAGCACGCACGTACGTGTATGCATGCACGGTTGGCTTCGTCAAACAGGGCTGACAAAGCTGTCGTGGAAACCAAATGTCCCTGAAGCTCGGGGAATGTGCTTCTTGAACCTAGAAATTAGTTAAGGTATTAGATCAAGTGTCTATAAAGTAGAGCCCTGACTGCCCCATCCCAGCTTTGCCTTTCCAGAGAGGGCAGGTTTTTTCTTTCCAGTCTTTTGAGTGTGTTGGATAGCAGAACAGAAGGAAACTGCACATTTTTTATGTGTAAAATTTTACTCCTCCAGCTGCTATGTGTGAAACCCAGCTGGACCCAGAGCTGAAATGATTCTTGGTTCAATCTCTAGCTGCAATTCCAACTTTCTTCCCACCGCTGCTCTCCTCCTCCTCCTCCCAGGCCCTTGCCTAAACGCTGACCCAGAGATTCTCAGCTTGACGAACCTCCCCTCAGCAGCCAGATCAGAGTGGTACAGCTGTTAAAATAAGCAGCAGCGTGATGGTTCTTGGTATCCTGAGAGGAGACCTGTAAGCGTTTTTGTACAGTAAATGCAGTGGTCACGGTCCTGAGCCACAGCAGGGATGTCCCTAGGGACTCTGAGGTCTCAGACATTTAACGCTGGAGTTACTGTCCATCCTAGGCCGGTGTGTGGATGTTTGCAGGTTTGTGCACGCACAGGAGTGTGTAGCTTTTTTTAAACCAGGATGCACAACCAGAGCGCTGCCTCCTGTTCTGGTCTTGCACTAGCCTCTCGCACTACCCTCAGCCAAATTCTCCCCCTTTGCAGCACGCACATTGTTTGTGCTGGCGGCCAGATGTGCTGGTGGCTTCCCCTTAGTTCAGTGTCACAAATGCCATTAAAACAGCCAAAAAGCACTGTAGAGGATGTAGAGTTGCTTATCCGGGAGCGTGCTCTGCACGGCTCCATGGCCCCGAGCTTGTGTTTTGTGAGTGGATCTCTTCCCTTCCCAGCCCAAACCCACGCAGACAGCAGCAGTCTGTTCCCTTCAGACTCCGATTCTCAGCACTCCACCATACATCAGATGATGCTTTTCAGTTATTAAATTCTGGTTTGTTCTTCCTTTTTTCTTTTTTTTTTTCTTTCTTTTTTTTTTTTTCCTTTCTCTTTCAGTTTGGTTTGATTTCTTTGCGATTAGCTTCGGTTTGAATTAATTGTCTTGTTCTGTTTCCATGACAACTCAGTGTTTGCATCCCACCTGCCGTTGTTTGTTGCTGTTGATGCTGTTTGCTGACCGGATCCTGTCCGGCTTGTGTCTCCTCCCCATCTCTCCTCACCTCTTCCCACCTTGCCTCCCCTCTCCAGAAGGTTACATCCCAGCCCCTCCTCCGAAGAGTCATCCCCACCCCAGACCTGTCTGCATGTTGACCCCACTTGTTTCTTTTCAAGTTCTCTCCATCTTGTCTCAGATTGTGACCGGTGTGGTCTTCACGTGGCTCCATTTTCTGAAACGCTGGACCTCCCGAAGCAGACAGCGGAAAGAAGGATGAAGTAGGCGCCAGGGACGTTCCCTCGTGTCTAGGGCTAAAAGTCTTCCGTAGCCGTGTGCAGGAGGGAGAAAGGAGCACATCACCTGGGCTCTTGAGCCAGTGCTGGTGCCTGAGGTGGTGCAAACCCCCTGGCACTCCCCTTACATCTAGAAGTCCTCTCCTAACGTTGGTGCCCAGGTCAGGTTGCTCTCTCTTGCCTCCACGCTCCAGCTGTGCTGGAGATGAGAGCGTGCCGTCCCTGCTCTTTGCAAAGCTGTGCACGCAGGAATTCTCCTTTGACATCTCTGAGCTCCTGGTGCCACAGGTCTGGAAAGTCTTCTCTTCCTGGTCTCTAGTTCCTGGGTACTGGTAGCAGTCGCAGAAGAGGCTCTGGTAGCGTCCTGGGGACCGTTCTGTGAAGATGTCTCCCTGCCAGCTTGCAGGAGGAGGCAGGGGCTGTGTTTGGCTTCTGTTCAGCAAAGCCCCGCTAAGTGGAAAAGAGCCGCTACCTCTCCTGGCTGTGCCCTTCCCATCTGAAAAGATTCCTAACATTGAGCAGCAGTCAGGGAAGTGGGCTGGAAGGTAAATGTTAGTAAACCCCGAGACGACGATTCTGGGTGACGTCTGAAGGCACCGGGACATGGGAAGATGACAGGCGAGGCTCCGATGTCCTTGGCGTTGCTTTCGCACGGGTGCAGCTGCCACTGGTTTTTTTTAGAGAGGTCGTTCAGAGAGGTTACCTGGAAATAGGGAAACAGGGACAGGTGGTTTTCAGGCCCCCAGCGCTCCTGCCTTCTCGCTCGTCCTACCTGGGGGGGCGTTATTGCATGGCTGGCTCTGAACCTGGAGGAACCCCTTGCTCCTTTGCTCCTTGAGCTGCCGCCGTGCCTGCGGTCGTCGGGGTTCGTACCCTTTTGTCCTTGCTCGTGGGGTGGGACCCTGCCCTGGGCTCCCTCTGCTCCTCCTTTGTCCGTCCTCCTGCTTTCACCCCTAAGGAAGAGCACCCACCTCAGCCCAGTTCGTTCAGAAAATGGAGCCAAGGAAACCTCACCCTCCCTTCTGCGTCCATGTTCTTACTGTGTAAGGTCTGGAAGCTGCATCCACCTCTCTGCTAAGGAGATGCACAGAACATGTCACTGTTTTCTCAACGTTAAAAAAGTTTCATTACCTTGTTTTTCTTATTAATTCTATTCTATTTATTATTCCGCCAGGGCTGAGATGTGACAATGTGAGCCACCACATTGGGTCACATCAGCTAGAAAAAGTATGCAGCATTAAAGTGGGTTTCCCCCTCCCCTCCCTCTCTCTCTCTCTCAAGTCTTTCTCCCTTCCCCTCCTTGTTCTCCTTCTCCTCGTCTTCCTTTCTTTCTCTGTCGCTCACTTTCTATTCAGTATCCATGTGGGCATTTGCTAGCCGCCCATAAATTATATTTCTCTGCATTTTCCTCTCTTTCTCTCTTTTTCTCTCTCTCTTTTTTACCTATTTTGCATGATGTTTGTGACTCTGAGAGCTGCATCTATCGATGGAACCGTGTCAGATCTTAAAGAGGCTTCGTTAGGGTTTCTATACCCGAAAACCACAAAAATTTCATTAGAGTTTCTCATCTTTTCCGCACTCCTTCTCGTTCCAGGGGGACTGCCTCCCCCTGGACGGTTCTCACACGCAGACACTAACTAAATTCTGTCCCGCTCCGGGGACTCCCTCTCCTCCCTTTTTTGATATTTTGGCTTTTCGAGCGGTGTCTCTCTGGCAATCTGGGGATGCGAGACTTCTCTCTTTGTTGAATTCTCGTGGTCCAACAAGGCAAACTCTTTGAGAAGTTTCCATCTCCGCCCCAGCCTTCTCCTCGCCACCACCCCAGCTCTGCGGCGTCCCCGGGGCGCGGGGCGATGGTGGGAGAGGGCTCCTCTGCGGGCGCCGGG